GGGAAATCCTGCTTGGGCAGTCAGCTAGCTGTTCCGCATTGGCGGATTCCTTACTAGCGGTAAAGTTGAGCGGGTAAAATCGATTCAATTGTGATCATGGCGCAGGCGTGGCGTCGTAGCTCAATTCGGCAGAGCGTGGGCTTCGCGTAAAGGTCTTCCCTGCAGTGCGGGTTCGACTCCTGCTGACACCGCGAGATTTTTCACAATTGGGTCAACTAAAATACAGGATTTTCTTCACATGCAGATTATACAGGTTGTAGATTTAAAGGTTTACGCATAATTGCAAATACAGACCTTCTTAAATAGTCTTAAGAATGTTAAAATCCTTTTAAAACCAATAGGTACGACTACCTCGAGTATACAATTTGAGGATGAACTGATTTGATATGGTATCTGCAAAAAAACTTTTGTGTACCTTTTATATGGAATATTTCCGAATTTATAAGATTATCGAACATAAAGTGAATAGACGATAACCGATGCAGTAGGCATTTTTGCCGGGTGCCTTATTCTAATGCGACCGAAAATTACTCGATTCAAAAGCAAGTATTTTGACGTGTCTGAAATATTCCTAGGGTTGTGTTGCATGATAACCAATCTGGTAATTCCCTTTAAGTAAACATTCGAAATCGCATTTTAGAATTTGAATTAATATTTAATGGAATTGGTCACCAACTATATTCTCCTCTTAAAAAATGAATGGTTCTATGCAAATCAACATTTCTTTATTTCAGAAGAGCAGCTGGCGTGCATACCTAAGTTTTTAATAAAGTCCCGTCGGACTATTAAATTTATTTGGGAATGGGCTAAAAGTTAAACGAGTGGTCACCACTACTCGTCTTATTGTAGAAGTGAGTCGATACAATAGGCGGAGTCGTGAAAATCGAAAAAAGAAAGCTATTTACACAGCGTTGAGGGTTTGGTGTAGCCGATCCAGGCGAGAGGGAAGAAGAACGAAAGAAATCGCAACAGAGTGCCTGCAGCTAAGTGAACGTTGGCCGTGCCAAGCGCAGAGCTCGCAGGTGGTTCCTTTGTGCACACAAAAACGGCTTCCTCAACCGGATAGCGGTCGTTTCTGCTGTTGATAGCAGACCCTGACCCAGAGACTTGAGGTAGTTTGGTGGGGCCTTATTAATCTCCTAGAAGGCTTCCTGTGGATCCACACGATATTGATCGTGATTTTAGGTACTCCTACAAAGGAAAGATCTTCTTCAGATTACCTGTTAGTTTTGTCACCACGTCATCAACAACATGGAAGTAGATTCCCATCTTCCTGTTGGTCGTATATTTTCTAGAAAATGCGCACCTATTCGCATATAAACAAGCATATTGCAAATAAGATCGACGCGTGATTACCGGGCCAATAAACTTATTGATCTAAGATTTTGGTCCTGTACCGAAGACCATCATTAGAGACCCCAAGTCGTTTTGTATTCAAACAAAGGGAAAATCGAAGAGTTTGGGGGTGGGGCGTTCATGATGAGGCTGAGTCCCCGCCGTTTGGTGATGCAATGGCGGCGTGCCTTCTTGACTGGGAACTCTGCGGCGCCTCTTTTTCCGGTGAGCGAAACACGTGATACCAGGGGGTATATCGAC